GTTAAAGTTGAATAACGATTCCGGCAACCGCATTTTAGCGATAAGATAGACGTTTCATTTGGAACTACGTTAAATATCAGGACAAGATCCAGGAAGTCACAGATACAATCTCGGAAATCAGAATAACCCACCCGCTGAACAGATATTACTTTATCCGAAACTTAGAAATTGTATTTAGCACTTATTTCATTGTTTTTTTCATTTGATGTACAGGATGACTGTACACAAAGAGTTTTAAACTGCAATTCGCTAAAAAAAAAGCCTGCAGTAAGTCTTCTAATCACTGTACTTTTACCGTCTAATGCACACGCTGTCAAGTTATACAAGATACAATGAGAGGAAATGACAAAAATTATTACGTCTTAATTGCTATGCCATCAAATCACTCCAAAAACACTCATTTAGCTCGTAGGCATTTAAGGGATAATAACTTTAAACTTCAAAAGAAATCGGGTGCCGTTTCATATTTTTGCAGGAAATGAAATCCGCATTTTTATCAACGCGGGTAACGATAATCGCAACGTGATATTTTGCTAAATGGACAAAACAATTACAGTGGACCTTGCATTGTACGTTACAATGCGGTATCGCCATATCGCGACAATCCCGACATCGCTCGCAGGCAATAGCAGGCTTCGGAGAGCTTCACGCGAATAAATCAAGTGCACGTTGGCATGCGTCACACGCGCCTGTCTGTGCCAATGCCAAAAACGGCACAACAGCAGCACTCAAACAGAATTGGCCACACATCCCTGGGATGACCCCCATCCTCCCTCCCTCTCTGGTTTTTTGAGGTTACCGTGGATAAATATATACAGTACTTACTAGCTCTTTTGCCCGTCCAAGGACGGGTGTATATTGCAGTAAATCTGAAATATTCAAGAGAAAAATTGTTCAGCTCATGATTATTAATGAGGGGGGGGTTTCCCCATGTGGAGTGACGTCACCAGCGAATGGTTATTGGGGAGGGGTGCGGCATGTGGAGTGACGTCACTCCCTCATGGTGATTGTGGAGGGGTGCGGCATGTGGAGTGAGCGACCTTCTTGTGCGTTAGTGTAAATTTCCATGCGGGCATGAATATTAATGAGGGGGTGGGCCTCTTTTGCAGTGACGTCATGCGGGGGGGTGGGCCTCATGGAGTGACGTCACGCACGGGACAGACAGACATTTCTGGGTGATTATAGTAGGTAATTACTATTTAAACAAATTCAATGGCCTTAGGATAAACATGTAAAATTAGCTGCCAATATTTCAAAACTGCTATGGTTACATTTCATAGGGCATATAAAGATATTTTTGGCCAGAAAGTGACACCAAGGATTACTGCAAGCGCTGAATTGAACTCTGCATGGAGATTATTTTGGTGTGGCGGCATTATGTCGCGAAGCATAGTACAAGGGCTCATTAATTGCAGAGGCCAAATGCAACGGAGAGAATTATTACAGCGCAATAAAATTGGAAAGTTTCACGGACGACTTTGGGCATTTTTGGCGAGCCAAATATTAGTTGTGAAAATTAATTACTTTGAGCAGAAGTCGGCAAAGTTAGCGCTCGTGCTCTTGTACAAACTACCACCAGAATATACCACAAAATAATATCCTGCACGAGGTCAAGCATGTGTTTTCACAGTCAATGTTTTACACAGAATAAGGCTCAAACTCCGAGGCTGGTACAGCAAACTCGATGTTGGTGTGCTCAGCACCACCCAAGGCCACCATAGCAAACTCGATGTTGGTGTGGTCACCACCACGCAAGGCCACCATAGTCTCGTTTAAAGTCAACTCGACCTAGAGGAGGGCACAGGCCAGGTTGCATTTACTATTTTTGTAGCCACTGAGAGCCGGGGATCGAATCCAGGTCACTGGGTTCATTTACCCTGTCTTCACGGATTCCCACACCAAACACACAGCCAGAGAGCCAGGCTTAATCATTTATGTGATGGACACAACTGCATTTTAAAAATCGAGCTCAACCGATGTCACACGGCGGTAATCTCTAATAGGGCTCAAGCACTCGTGGGAAATGTAAAAATGGCCAAATCGGACAGCCAAAAGGAAAATAAAGATACCCTCTTCCTAATTCTAGATTCAAAGCTTTCGTGACTGCAAGGATTCATACTCTTAGGTTTTTTCGGTAAAGTCACGTAGGTAAAAAATAATAATAAATAAATAATAATAAATCACGACGTTTCGTTACTGTATCAAGTAAATCTAGCTGTGACGGTCCCACCTGAAGACGGAGACTTGTGTTGCCTCCGAAACGTCGTGATTTATTATTATTTTATTTTATCATTTTATTACTTACGTGACTTTACCGAAAAAACCTAAGAGTATGAACCCTCTCCTTAAGTTTGTTTTATTGAAATAACTATCAATTGTGTGAGCTTCTGAAAGTAAAAGGGTAAAAAACACGCACATTATGAAATTGCATACTGGGTTAATTAGTTTTACAGTTTTTAATTTCTGTCTTTTTCAATTATCCCTGCTACTGTTTCACACACTGCTGGGGAAATCGGCACGCAAGCATATCGCACGCCTGCATTCGTTTAAAACGGCCAAGGTCATAATTGCATGTTACCCTCGCAAATCGAGCTGCCTTGCGATACAAGTTGACGCGGTAAAGTTTCCTCTTAAAAGTGTTTCCTGTGAGCGCGAGGCAAAACGCTCAAGTGATTATCTGCCACGACAGAAGCGAGGTCATTCCAGCAGAAGCCAACCACATGGAATGGAGGGCGGCTTTAATGCGAGAGGTCACGCAGTTCAAATCCTGGCACGGTCACACCTACATTGTGCTCGACTGCTTCGCTACACCAAACTTTGAATACGGAAGTTGAAAATGGCATGGTATTTAGCATGATGTGGCGGGGGGGGGGGGGAACCACCGCTTGTGATCACAAACGAGCATTAACAGTTACAAGTTGTGGGCCTTTTCATTTAAAATTGCAAGTTTTCTACGCATGCTCCCGTTTCTTCGTACGTGTATACTCATTCATAGGCTGAAACCATCTTTACATGTATGTGTGTGTATATATATGTCTATGCGCCTCTGTGTTTGCAGATTGAGCACTGCTGTTCGACGCAGTTGCATATTATGATGTCACTATATAAAACATATATAATTAAATATTGGGTGACGAAAGACCGCAGGCGGTACATGGCGTGTATCGATACAGGATTGTGTAGCGACTTGTTGAATCCAAACACACAACACGAATGAAACTAATGACAAGAGACCGCGGCAAAAACACCCGACTGAAGAAGCAACGTAAGACTCGTGTCCAAAGAACTAATCGCAGAGATATGCACCCTGACAGAGTTGATGTCTGCATTTAATAATTTAGAAATATACACACGCACACTATCTCTCTCTCTCTCCAGAGTTCTATCCAAAGTGTGGAAAATGCTGTACAGCTCGGACTGGCCTCGGCAAGCCCATGCAAACCCAATCACTCTCTGCTCAATAACTTTTGACTGGCAGTCATCGTTTTAGTGGGACAAGCACGGCATCGAACAAGGCTGTCTACGCAGCGACAGATTTCCTGCGGTTGAAAATCAATTTCTCCCCAAAAAACAAAACTGTTGCACGACTTCTGTTTTTGTTATTCCAGAGCATTTAGCCAATTACGTTGAGGAATGCATCGCTCCATGAAGCCAATAATTAGGAAATAAAAATGATGAGATGGTAACAGTTTGGGGAGGCGTTCATCCAGCAGTCGAATAATCATGGCTGCAGATGATTTTTTAATCCACTACTGGATGGAGACCTCCCGAAGCAGTGTTGCTCATTAGGTTGGGGGACTCACAACTAGTCCAGTTGTCACTCAGTGCATTGAGCTAACGACTTCAAATTATTCCAAATCAAAATTACGGGAGCCATAGCCTGTTCAGTTAAAACTTGAGCATGCACAATTAGTGTAATTAGTATGCTGCACATTTGATAAAAATGGCAAGCGTACACTGTAAAACATAGCTATCGACTTAAACAATCTTTATCCTCAAGGTGTTTTTGAATTGCGTTATTTTATAGATCCAATATGAATTGCAAAGACTGGTCCAAACAAAATGTGTCAAGATCAAACTAATCACATACAGACTTTGTAAACCAATCACTCTTTGAACACTGGGCCCCCATTTCTTACAGCAACCTTGGCAGGGTAGATGTTTATTCAAGAATCCAGAATGCCAGCAAAAACGGATGCCTTCTGTGCTGCCCCGTTACGATAGATTAATTTAGTTTATGCTCGGTAGGAGTTGTCAGTTTTTCGGATAAACACTGAATTTTTCATCAGCACACATTGAAACATTACTCCGATTGAGCATCAAGTCCAGCCTGGCTGCATATTTTATTGTTCGAAAATGCATTCTTACCGCGTGCATTTCATTGGATAAATATATTTTGTCAAATGCGATTGTGGGTGAGATAACAAAAAATAAATCCATTGCTGGCCAAACTGTGTGCACCCGCATGTCCCAACACGCTCCGACGTGGTACAACATCGCATCTCTGAGTGCAGCATCCACACCTGCTCGCTTCTGCAAGAATACCGCTAACAACTTTGTGACGTCCGCGCAAGTTGCTTTTTGTACGAAGGCTGCCCAATTTAAAGTCTATCGTGACATTCATCGAGGATCTCGCAGCGCCGCACAAGACATAGCAGCAAACCACTAAGCGTAAAAATAACTCTTGAAAAAAAATATAACAACTGCCACACCGCACGACGCAAATGACTCTGATACCGCACAAAGCAATACAACACATTCAACGTGCCCGAGCGGGGGGGGGGGGGGTCTTGCCATCACTAGAACTAGCAGCTGACATAACGTGACGAACCAAGCATTTAACCCACACCGCGGTAGCAGGGGGGAGGAGGGGTGGCACAAACCATTTTGACCGACACGCGAAACGTTTGCGTGCTGCGGCGTAACATTTCAATCCTCCCGTTTCAGCTTTAACAAAAAAAAAAAACGCACGGTGCCGCGCACCAGCACAAGCTCTCTACCTGGACTTGGGGACATCGATGCTGGAGGACACGGCTCTCCCCCATCCGTCCGCTCCCAGGCTTGGCTTCGTGGGCGGCTGGCCGTCGGCGATCGGTTCGGCGGCGTCCACGCTGCTTGCGTCGTCCTTGCCACGAGGGCTCTCCCTCGTCTCCATGAGCTCGGGCGAATCGAAGCCGTTCAGCAGGGAGATCTGGACGGGGCACGACAAGTGCTCGGTTTATTCGCACGCCAGGGGAGTGCATCTGCGCAAATGGCCATGCGATTTTTGCCGGCGCAAAAAAGAATATAATACACGAGCAGCAAATGACGCATCTCAGACAAACTTGTGCAGTTCAGAAATTGTTGTTTCTGTGCAACGGCTTACGAACGCCGCAGAGGAGCCTGCTGCGTTTCCCAATTTCGTCAGGGACGAGACGACCAACAGACTTCAACTTAATCAAAAAAAGTATTGTTTTGTGTCGAGGCAATACTGTGGGCATCGCAATGCAAATTTATAGATCGAGTGCAATGTACACATGGCACTCTGCCTGAAAAGACGAGCGGCAATGGCCGCGTTGAAAAATCAGGTCTGCGTCACAGCCCTGCAGAGTCGAATGTGCTCCGACGTAGAGTCGTGAGGGTTAAGCAAAGTGAACAACTGTTACACGATGCTTTATAGTGTGGAGAAACAAACCCGAGCCTCCGAGACTTAAAAATAAAATCTGCTGCCACTCGGCAATACTGCTATACATTTACACGTGATGCGCCACTTCGTTGAGCTATCATTTGTGGCCAGGTCGCTTCTGCAAAAGAGCTATATAGCCGAGTGGGCCTTACCTGGTAAAATCGAAATTGTTTAGTTTAAATATTGTTTTAATACACGTCTTAAACCGCACAATTGCACAAACCTTGCCAAAATAATTTACGCCAAACGATGGAGGTTATCCTATCTACGTACGGTTGGCACCTTCGATTAGCACGGTTTGCTACGTAAAATGCGAAAGAAATTCGACATACATCTACATAACAGCCTGTGCCCCCGCGTGATTCTCGAAGTGACGCTTCACATAAAGACGACCCTCGCCAGCGCCTGGATCAGCGGGTGTGAAACATAAAAAAAGGATAACGTTTGCGAAGCCAGAGACAGATATGGGCGGTGGTGGTGCCCACACAACTGGTATTCGTGTTGCAAGTCGGTAATGCACACAACGTGTTGACTCGTTTAAACTACAATAGACTATTATTCAAACTTTTTTTACTTTACCAGGTAAGGCCCACTTAGCTATATTGCTCTTTTTCAGAAGCGACCTGGTGATACATGACAGCTCAATGAAGCGGCTTATCACGTGGAAATGTCTCGCAGCCAAATACTGTAAACGCATATACAGGCGTCAGGGTCGGAATCGAATCCACGACCTCCTGCATACCCGGCGAGGTAGTTAACATTTCACGACTCAATGACTTGTTGCGATTGGCCACGATTCTACTCAAGAATAGTCGAGAACCCATTGCACACATCGTAGGAACTGCAACATGCCCAATGCCATGCATGCCAATTCAACACATGCATCATGAACTTCACAACGGACTTATCGATGCATTGTTACACCCCTGTGATGTTACATATACACGGCATAAGGGTGTCAATGTGAGTGTAGTACGTGTATTGCGATTGAAATGTCACGTTTAAATATAAACATGGAACAAAGGAAGCTTCACAAACTTTACCATTATTACACTTGGCGCACTCACGGTGAAAGAAATGCCAAGGAGTATAGCAGTACACCCCCTCCCACGCCTCCCACCAGCAAAATAATTAAAAGTCACGATTCTATTAGAGAATTCTCATTTTGACCATCTCTTTTGAGTCATTTCCAAGTTTTGTGTATAATTTTTTACGGTGTTATTTGCCCTGCTGGGCCAAATGTAACGCGACTAAATAATATGCGTTTACGTTAAACAAATCAATTCTCATGTGCCGGATTAGATGCATGCATCAGCGGCCTTAAACATCTATTTTTTAAAAATCGACCAACCGATTCACCATTACACACCTAACCCTCAAATACCGAACGGTGTTTTTGTGTTGACAGAAGTGCAATGGCAATTCCACAATCCTATGATTGGGGGGAGGGGATGGGCCAACTAAAAACTCATCTGAATTTCTACAACCCAGCTATCATAAGGCCAGCAATTTGCAACCAAGTCTTTGTCCCCAGTCAACCTGCTCTCAGTAGGATGTCACATTCTCTTCTGATGTCTTCATAATTTGGAGCTCCATATCCCAGCCATCCACACTGTTGACTCGAGTCTAGACACAAGACCATGTTTTCCTCTCTGTAACAGGCTGCCTCTATAAAATACGCCCACTGTATCTGTACAGTGGTTCCGTTTACATACTATACGGATCTAAATGCATTGTAAGTGGCTTCTGGAAGTAGAAACATTACTTCCCCGAGCCCATCCAATCACCATGTGACGCTTCCTCGTGCTGCGTTCCATTTTCTCATCTAGCGGCTGGCATCGCTTGGCGGTGTGCCCACTTTAAAACATGCGGAATTGCACAATCGCGCTGCCTTCACTTGCAGCAATGGCAATGTTTTGGTGAATGTTAATCAATGGGTTTAGACCAGGGGTCTGCAACCTGCGGCTTCTTTTCGATGACTACACTGCGGCTCTTTAATGGTAGCTTCGTGACGTTATTTGTTCAGGACCACCCGTCTTGTATTCACATGCATTGGTGGCTCTTGAAATATTTTTTTTTAAATTAATTAATTAGAAAAAAATACAACTTTGTTGTTGTTGTTGTTTTGGTTGCCGACCCCTGGTTTAGACGAACCCTGTTTATTAAAAAAAACGTCACCACGTGCGTCTTTGAGTTGCCTTCGAAAATAAATGAGTGAACATTATAAGCAATGGCCATTCTTCAGAGCATGGTTTGACCCACTTACAGTTGGACATTGCACTCTACAGTGTGGCTGCCGTATAGTAGTACACTTCAAAACAGTTTTAAACTGATGTTGGCAAAATCCTCTGTACGCAAAATTTTACGTTTTTTTGGTATTGATTTGATAAAACTGTGTACATGATAGCTTTCTTTAAAGGTTAAGACATTCATGTATATGTAGCGTGATCTCCAACATCTATGCACCCATATAATTATGACTGCGTCTCACTCACGAGGGTCAGAAACTCGGTGGCAATGTGACCGTAAACATGTCGGCATCCAAACCGATTTCGTTGAGAAGCAATTAAAACAGACGTCATATTTTAAGGCTTTACCCCCCTCATACATATAGGTGAACACATGTTTGTATTGCCTCGTGTACATATGTATTGCACCTGGACAAGCGAAAGTTGATAACGCGTTTTGCCGTTATCTGGCAGTGCAAGTGACAAACGTGGAGATTAGTTTATTGCTTGTGTGTCATTGCCAAAGACATCTGCCAAATATATGCCTTGCTTTCTTTTATTTCATGTTTAACTCACTCACTTCATAAGCCCTAATTATCATCTTCACAGAGTTTGCTTACAAGGGCGAATTTAAATATTGTTATCATCATGACTATTAAATGTCTCGTGTGAGAGAATCCTCCGGTGTGGTATCAACCATGTGCTGTGCAAATATCACGTTGCAATGGAGCTCTTAAAAAGGACATATTCCTGATCTACGCAGATATCTTTATCACAATTGAGGACAGGTATAAATATAAATGTAGATGCTTAAAATAAAACTGTCCCTTCTCCACTGTGGTTTGATAGGCGTCATCATCATTTGTCAAGGCTCCCTCCTCTTCTAACCTAGCTTAAATATACGCTGCCAAGCTTGGTGGTGTTCATTCAGACGCTGTCTTTCCAACAGCCCTGTTCTTCACCTAAGGATGGCTGCTTGCGTTGTGGCCGAAACGTAGTGAGAATTGTATTTTATTATGTTTTATTTTTATTATTTCTCTTCTACGTGACTTTACCGAAAGAATCAAAAAGAGAAAATGTACGTATTTGTTTTGAACTTCTTTTGCACCATAACGTAGCCAACCATGCTCATCGGAGGTGCTGGGCCATGATCAAGCCACTGCTGGATGAAGGCCTCCTTCAAACCGTCACCAGTTCCTGCACACGAACCGATTCCTAGTTCCATCTCTCCACAGTGAACGAACTCTCAGGCACGTTCTCTCAATACGGGTCCTGGAGTCACTTGCAACAAACACCTCGAGTAATATCTCACTGTCTTGCACGAGTGCACACTGGTCTGCGTAGCAACGCAAAAACCCAAGTGAACTTTCACGCAGTTTCACTTGGCTTGTGGTGCACGCCTGCGTTCCAGCCAAGTTTTGGCAGCAAGGAATAGTGAGATCATTTCGCGATTTGCGAAATCCCAAAACCAACTGGGCGGCGACATGTCCAAGAGGTAGCATGTGGAGCAACTGAGCTGGAGAACCCACCCACCACCCGTGTGTAACTTTTAATGTTTGCCCCGAGTATGTGGCTAAGTACAGAAATTAGAAGAAAAAAACTGGGTGGACAGACACAATGGTAAAATATATGGAAAAGGATTTGAGATTGCAGAAAGCGGTAATTGCTGTCCAAGGATAACTATAGCAGAGATTAATTCGGTCCCATCATCGTGAATGAGCTGACAAGGTCATGTGTGGTTGGTTCTCTCCAGGTAATTGAGTTACCTTCCCACATGCACTAAATTGGCCAAACATTCCGATGGAGCAGGACCCTCCTGAAATAAGTCTTGAGACTCGGTGAGGCTTTTACCGGTAAAAAAATACTCCGTGAGTAAATAATTGGCATCAATCACATAGCATACATACAGTATACCATCCTTATAAATGTAAATTCTTAAGAATTTCTAGATGTGCTCGGAAGCTGACATTTGGCACATAGCAGAGCCTACGCTCACAAAACTGGGTAGACCGAAATTTTCGAGCTTTCACGACCAATATTATCCATAACCCTAAAAACCTCCACGATCCAAATTTTCAAATTTGCACCCTAGGTAGGGTCATCCTAAAGTTACGCAAATTAACTCTGGTGCTAAGTACAAATTACACGATCTTCGTCATCAGCCAACCAAGCATTTCGCCTCCCGTGGAGTGTGTCGCCACACAGCCGATAGAAAGCACTTAAGGGTCACAAAAAATAAAAGCTCATAACAGCCTACGTGTTGTAACAACGCAGGTGGGCACGTGTGTGCCATAGCACACACGCACGTAAATGCTAACACAGGCAAAGGTCTAGGAGGCTGGCCTCTTGGCAAACAAGAGTTGGGAAATAAATAACTGCTTAATGGTATGAGCTTCGGAACCTCGACAATAACTGCATCTCAACAACCAACAACCAACACTTCCAACAACACAGTCCTTGGCTAATCTCCTAACCCAGTTTTACACGTGTCCCTCCCCCTTCCCCATATTATGGTTTGCAAATGCTTTGGTTTGTTATGTTTTGCAAATGCGGCACTACTCAAACCAATGGCTCCTCCACTACAAAACAACAAAACACCCAACGGAATTCCAAACCGAGACGGAGAACGAGGCACACCCGGACGAGAGATTCAGAAGCGTCAATCTGACCGGTGGAAAAGGAAAGGAAGCGAATATTGGGAACCGGGCACGTCATGGCCGGAAGGGCTCTTGATGGTTGATGGCCGGTGGTGAAGTATAATGACGGTAGAGGCGACAGCCAAGGGAAGGAGGCACCTAACGCGTCCGATGGAATCTGCTCGGGTGCAGGTGGTTGCATCGTCGCAAGATCGCGGACATTGTAGCCACTGCTCTCGCGGGATTCATCCAACGGTGGATTGAGAATGCACGAGGATGAACAACAGCCCATGCTTGGCTACTCTCTCGTATTGCGATGCTCGGTCTAACATTCAGTTCGAACAACAAAACTCGCCATTTGCCACCGAGCAGCGCTCGTGCCAGGCTAGGTGCACTTCGAGGCCACGTGAAAGTGTCGGCACGTACATTGCAGAGCGGCATCGCGATGTGCGTTGGACCGCCTATGCGTGCACGTCTAAATCACTTACGTATTACCCCCACGGAACACTTAAACCAACCTGCATTACATACAATTGCATACACACGCACACATTTCAAAACAAACTACTGCACTCGCACCAAGATGCATGCAATATGCCATACAGTAAGTACCGTGTATAAACGCGTAATCATCACTTAGCAATCGGGTAAACGCAGCGCATGCGTTCATGGACACCATCAACTCGCTGCCCGTACACATTAAAGGCCTCCCCCCACCAACGGCGTGGCTCGTTTGACCATACTTCACCTCGCTGGTCAGTGCCGGGTCGGTAAGGGCGGGTCAAGCCTCCTGCAACTGCGTAGGGGGAACGACACGTGGGGTGTTTGCCATACCACCCTCGCTCACAATACAAGCCACGGAAGCAACCTACAACAACAACAACAGCAGCAACAACAACAACAGCAGCGATAACTGCGCCGGTGTTCGCACACATCCCCCTACTAGCCAGGCTCAACACCCGCTTAGCTTCTCGTGGTTTGGTTGTAACCACCGCACTCTGTGGACATGGAAAACCCCCCAGGCAGCATTCAATGCAACCAAGGACCCCCCCCAAACCAACATAACCTCGTTCCCATACCTTGTGCCGGCCTGGGAAGCCGGAATCTCCGTTGCGGCAGCCGTCACCACGGCCCGGAGGCTCCCAGCCCGGATCGTCGACTCCTCGTGACCTGACCTCGACCTTGACCTCGACCTTGACCCCGACGGGGCCACAGGGAGGAGGGCGGCCACCGCCGGGCCCGGCGATGCCGACTGCGCCCGGGTGAGACGGGGCCCTGCCGTGTCGTGCCGAGCTCATGGTGGTGGTCGTGGTGGTTGTGGTCGTGGTGATGGTGGTGGTGATGGTTGTGGTGATGGTCGTGGTGGTGGTGGTCGTGGTGGTGGTGGTGGTCGTGGGCGGACTAAAATTTAAAACAAATTTTGATTGCGGGCGAGGAATTTGTTATCTATTTAGCTTACTTGTAGCTGGTGTTCCTATAGGTTGTTGTTGTTGTTGATCTCGTACCTTTTTGCTGGTATTTTTAAAAAAAATTGTTGCCCGAAGGCAAATAAAATAAAATATATTTTATACTAAATGAGGTGGGGGGGGGCTCTTCCCCACACAACAACACCACCCCCCTCCTCCTCCCGCTAAAAACGAAGACTAAGAACCCGGCTTCCTTACAGTCCACGCGGCGTGCACCGCCGGTGTACACCACACACACGAACACAACTTAAAAAGTCGTCGCTTGTGCCGCAGATTGATACAAAAAAAACACAACCGGCGTCACCAACCCCCTAACCCACCACTACCACCACCCCCAAAACCACCACCACTACCCCCTTGCAAAGTGTCCCTATTAGATGAGTTATCGATACGCACGCACAAGTACTTTTATCTCTCTCTCGAGTCGTCGTCGTCGCGAGTATCTCCGTTTAAAGTGTTCGGGTTGGGGAGGAGGGGGCCCTGTTTGTTATCGCTGCCGCTAAAACTGCAAAGCCGCGTTGTTTTCATCGCGAACCCGAAGCAAACCCCCCCCACACACACCACCCACAACAACCACCACCCACAACAACCACCACCATCAACAACAATCCACAACCATCAACAACAACCCACAACCATCACCACTCCTTCACCGAAAATGCGGATCGCGAAACCCGGCGCGGCAATCCGCGGATCCGCAAAAACCCGGCGGCCTTCCACGCCGCACCGCCCCATCTCTCATCTCTCTCCCATCTCTCTCATCTCTCCCGAACGCATTCCTCGTCTAAACCCGCACGAAGCGTCTCCCCCCCCGAGCCAGTGCACGTACCGTTCTACGCGACGACGAGAAACGTGTGGAGGTGGAACGAGGGAGGTAGAGGAGGTGGAACACGCCGGTGGTGTAAGAAGTGGAAAGACGCCGCTACTGGGAAGTAGTCCAGTTCCACTTTCACGCTTCCGTCGATCCGCTCCGCGCTTTGCGCCGCGCCAAGCCGCGAGCCGGCGTTTTGCCCGCGATGTAAACACGCGGGGAGGCGTTCGGCACTCACCCTCCTCCTCCTCTCCCGCCACCACCACCACCACCTTTTTTGTTGTTTTGTCAAAGAACGCCTCTCCCCATTCGCCCTGGCAATGTGCCGGTGAGGGCAGCAGCAAGGCGGCTTGCCATTGGATCCCGCCTTGAGCTCGCCGGTAGTGGTGGAGGTGGTGGTCTGGGGGGTGGATGGGTGGGGGAGGTTTTCGTGGTGGTGGTGGTGTTGTTGTTGTATTAAAGGCCCGGCGTGTCGTGCAGAAATAGGGCGTAGTGTCCCGAACGCGCCTCGCCATTGGCCCCCGCGAGTTGTTGTCACGCGAGCCAATCGCCGCTTCGCGCCCTGCCAGCCCCCACCACTACCACCACCCCCACCACCACCCACCACCACCACCCACTACCACCCACCACCACCACCCACACGACCCCCACCACCACCCCCACCACCAAACACATCGAGCAGGACACACACAGTCTTACCCCTGCCACTACACACACATACTCTTAGGTTGTTTCGGTAAAGTCACGTAGGTAAAAATAAATAATAAATAATTGAAATTATATTATTGAAAAAAATTATCTTTTATTTTTTTTTCCCTACGTGACTTTACCGAAAAAACCTAAAAGTATGAATCCTTACAGTCACGAAAGCTTCAAATCTAGAATACACACACACAGTCTTACCCCTACCACTACACACACACAGTCTTACCCCTACCACTACACACACACAGTCTTACCCCTACCACCACACACACAGTCTTACCCCTACCACTACACACACAGACTACCCCTACCACTACACACACGTCTTACCCCTACCACTACACACAGACAGTCTTACCCCTACCATACACACACACAGTCTTACCCTACCCTACACACAGACAGTCTTACCCCTACCACTACACACACAGTCTTACCCCTACCACTCTACACACACAGTCTTACCCCTACCACTACACACAGACAGTCTTACCCCTACCACTACACACACACAGTCTTACCCCTACCACCACACACACAGTCTTACCCCTACCACTACACACACATACTTACCCCTACCACTACACACACACAGTCTTACCCCTACCACTACACACACACAGACTTACCCCTACCACCACACACACACACACAGTCTTACCCCTACCACTACACACAGACAGTCTTACCCCTACCACTACACACACACAGTCTTACCACTACACACACACATACTTACCCCTACCACTACACACACACAGTCTTACCCCTACCACTACACACACACAGTCTTACCCCTACCACCACACACACACACACAGTCTTACCCCTACCACTACACACACACAGTATTACCCCTACCACTACACACACAGACTTACCACTACCACTACACACACACAGTCTTACCCCTACCACTACACATACACAGTCTTACCCCTACCACTACACACACACAGTCTTACCCCTACCACTACACACACACAGTCTTACCCCTACCACTACACACACACAGTCTTACCCCTACCACTACACACACAGACTTACCACTACACACACACAGACTTACCCCTACCACTACACACACACAGTCTTACCCCTACCACTACACACACACAGTCTTACCCCTACCACTACACACACACAGTCTTACCCCTACCACTACACACACACAGTCTCACCCCTACCACTACACACACACAGTCTTACCCCTACCACCACACACACAGTCTTACCCCTACCACCACACACACACAGTCTTACCCCTACTACTACACACACAGTCTTACCCCTACCACCACACACACACAGTCTTACCCCTACCACTACACACACAGTCTTACCCCTACCACTACACACACACAGTCTTACCCCTACCACTACACACACACAGACTTACCCCTACCACTACACACACACAGTCTTACCCCTACCACCACACACACACAGTCTTACCCCTACCACCACACACACAGTCTACCCCTACCACTACACACACACAGTCTTACCCCTACTACTACACACACACAGTCTCACCCCTACCACTACACACACACAGACTTACCCCTACCACTACATACACACAGTCTTACCCCTACCACTACACACACACAGTCTATCCCTACCACTACACACACACAGACTTACCCCTACCACTACATACACACAGTCTTACCCCTACCACTACACACACACAGTCTCACCCCTACCACTACACACACAGTCTTACCCCTGCCACTACACACACACAGACTTACCCCTACCACTACACACACACAGACTTACCCCTACCACTACACACACACAGTCTCACCCCTACCACTACACACACAGTCTTACCCCTACCACTACACACACAGTCTTACCCCTACCACCACACACAGACAGTCTTACCCCTACCACCACACACACACAGACTTACCCCTACCACTACACACATACAGACACAGTCTTACCCCTGTCACTACACACACACACAGTCTTACCCCTACCACTACACACACAAACACAGTCTTACCCCTACCACCACACACACACAGTCTTACCCCTACCACTACACACACACAGTCTTACCCCTACCACTACACACACACAGTCTTACCCCTACCACCACACACACACAGTCTTACCCCTACCACTACACACACACAGTCTTACCCCTACCACTACACACAGACAGTCTTACCCCTACCACCACACACACACAGTCTTACGCCTACCACTACACACACACAGTCTTACCCCTGTCACTACACACACACAGTCTTACCCCTACCACTACACACACACAGTCTTACCCCTACCACTACACACACACAGTCTTACCCCTACCACTACACACACACAGTCTTACCCCTGCCACTACACACACACAGTCTTACCCCTGCCACTACACACACACAGACTTACCCCTACCACTACACACACACAGACACAGTCTTACCCATGTCACTACACACACACACAGTCTTACCCCTACCACTACACACACAAACACAGTCTTACCCCTACCACCACACACACAGTCTTACCCCTACCACCACACACACACAGTCTTACCCCTACCACCACACACACACAGACTTACCCCTACCACTACACACACACAATCTTACCCCTACCACTACACACACACAGTCTTACCCCTACCACCACACACACACACAGTCTTACCCCTACCACCACACACACACAGACTTACCCCTACCACTACACACACACAGTCTTACCCCTACCACTACACACACACAGTCTTACCCCTACCACTACACACACACAGTCTTACCCCTACCACCACACACACACACAGTCTTACCCCTACCACCACACACACAGACTTACCACTACACACACACAGTATTACCCATACCACTACACACACACAGTCTTACCCCTACCACTACACACACACAGACTTACCCCTGCCACTACACACACACAGTCTTACCCCTACCACTACACACACACAGTCTTACCCCTACCACCACACACACACACAGTCTTACCCCTACCACTACACACACACAGTCTTACCCCTACCACTACACACAGACAGTCTTACCCCTACCACCACACACACACAGTCTTACGCCTACCACTACACACACACAGTCTTACCCCTGTCACTACACACACACAGTCTTACCCCTACCACTACACACACACAGTCTTACCCCTACCACTACACACACACAGTCTTACCCCTACCACTACACACACACAGTCTTACCCCTGCCACTACACACACACAGTCTTACCCCTGCCACTACACACACACAGACTTACCCCTACCACTACACACACACAGACACAGTCTTACCCATGTCACTACACACACACACACAGTCTTACCCCTACCACTACACACACAAACACAGTCTTACCCCTACCACCACACACACACAGTCTTACCCCTACCACCACACACACACAGTCTTACCCCTACCACTACACACACACAGTCTTACCCCTACCACCACACACACACACAGTCTTACCCCTACCACCACACACACACAGACTTACCCCTACCACTACACACACACAGTCTTACCCCTACCACCACACACACACAGTCTTACCCCTACCACCACACACACACACAGTCTTACCCCTACCACCACACACACAGACTTACCACTACACACACACAGTATTACCCCTACCACTACACACACACAGTCTTACCCCTACCACTACACACACACAGTATTACCCCTACCACTACACACACACAGTCTTACCCCTGCCACTACACACACACTGTCTTACCCCTACCACTACACACACACAGTCTTACTCCTGCCACTACACACACAGTCTTACCCCTACCACTACACACACACAGACTTACCCCTACCACTACACACACAAAGACACAGTCTTACCCCTGTCACTACACACACACAGTCTTACCCCTACCACTACACACACAAACACAGTCTTACCCCTACCACCACACACACACAGTCTTACCCCTACCACCACACACACACAGTCTTACCCCTACCACTACACACACAGTCTTACCCCTACCACTACTCACACACAGTCTTACCCCTACCACCACCACACACACAGTCTTACCACTACACACACACAGTCTTACCCCTACCACTACACACACACAGTCTTACCCCTACCACTATGTACACACACGCATAGGCCGGGCCACAATCACTTTACCACCATAACACACAATTGCAACAGCGTGCATCCAGCCGTCACCACCGCGCGCTATACAACCACAAACCAACCCTCCCACTCCCTACCACTACACACACATAC